GNAAAGCCGCAGGCTACTCTCGTAGACTCGTAGACTCAGGCACGGTACCGCACAAGCAGGTGGTGAAAGTCCACCGTGTGGCCGCCATGCGCTGCCGCCATGCGCTGCCGCCATGTGGCTAACCTACGCTAGGAAATCACATCGGATTTGAATATATCGGGAGGGGGGGTCCCTTTTTAGCCGTTCCAGTGAACCGCCTTCTAGGTGGCTGGGAAATGTTACCATCTCCTATGCGCTAAACGCTCTCCGTAGCGCGAAAATGCCTGACTGCAAGTCAGGTGAAACGCCCCGGCTGGGGGAACGTTGGGGGAACCTCTCTGCCCCCCCGCGGCGAGTCGGGCGTGGCGGTGGGCCACGACCGGGCGCTGGGTGAGAGTCGGGTGAGCGCGCGAACCTGGTCTCGAACCCGACCTGCACACTCAGAGCGCGCTGTTTTTCCGGCTGCGTAGCTGGACCGGCTTGCCTTGCGGCTTCCGGCCCGTGACGGCGTCCATGGTCCGGGCTTGTAGTGCGCCGCTGCGCGCACCGGCGGCTTTTGGGGTCCGCAGCACCGCACCTGGCCACTGCGGCTTCAAGTTTGGCAGCCTTTGCAGCGGCTTTCTTCCGCCATTGCTCTTTCTTTTTACTGGTTGGCATCTTTGCTTCGTGTTGGGCTCGACTCGCGTCGCCTATGGGCGCGGTTACTCTTTCATAAGTAGTTCACTGTGGGCCCATAACCAACAGGCTGAGGGCAGTCTAAGTGGGTGCTAGAACTGACTTAAGCCTGAGAAGGAGGCTACTCTCGTAGACTCGGACACGGTACCGCACAGACAAACTGTCAGCGAGGTTATTATAATGTACGAAGGCAGGGAAGGGGGGGGAGTATCACAAGAGCATGCAATCCTAGTTAGGATATTGGCTGCTCATTATCTGTTGCCAGTCTGGTGACTCCTTTTGTCATCCCCTGTTTATAGAGATTTCTGGCAACAGTCAGCTTGGACTTTATTGAATCGCCAGGTCCTGTGGAGGAATTGCTATAGCTTAGTGGCTCGCTGCTCCCTTAGTTATTGGGGCGTTTATTGGCCATTTCTTATTGGCTCCTCTTGGATATTGTATCTTGGTAAGTCATTATCTTTCCCCATATTAGTATGTTCCATGCAGAGAACAACCATGGTGTTGAAATGGTCGAAATCAAGTCTTCACTGTATTTACAATTGATCATGTTTTACCAGGGAATGTTAGTTCGCGCGTCGAGAGCCAGTGGTGACGCTCTTGTCGCAGGTACTCCTTGCTGTACTTTTCCGTGTGCGGTGGCTGCTTGTTAAATAAACTATACAACTATGAGTTCCAAAATAGCATCTTGAAGATATTGACCCTGCCTATATTCTTGCTGTGGTCATCTACAGAGCTTGCACGTGTAGCACTTGGCTATGTCGGCAACATAAAGGAGCGCGTCCCAATGATCTCAGCATTCTTGCTTCTTACTATATTCCCACAACTGGTGGCAGTGTTGTTCTTTACGTTTCTCCAAGATCCTGTCTTGATTCCGCCAGAGGCCACCCTGTGTCGATTAGTCAACTCAATTAGCTTCACTCCTTTGGTCGAGCTTAGGTTTTCCCCTTCGACTCTGCTGCTGGCTCGGCAATGATTTTTTTCTTGTTCGTTGAACTTCATATTGGGAGGCTCACATTCAAAACTCTTATCGAGCGTCAGACAGCGCAGTTCTTCCGGCTTTGCCAGGAAGAGGAGGTCGAGCACGTGCGCCATATAAAAGGGTCGGGCCAATTGGCGTGCATACCTTAACGGCAACCTTGGGAAGTTAGGATAGTTTATAGCTACCTAACGCCGCTATGACGCCAGTCAAACTACTATTCAGCAGGTGCACTGTCCGGCGACTGTGCTACCTCGCTGAGTCTGGTGCTCTCTGGCACGTCGCTGTGGCGCTAACCAGACAGACACCGCTGCAACATGGGGTCAACGAAGCCTGTAAAACACCCGTTCTGGCCGATCGGCAGCGGAGGGTTGCCCGGCCACGACCTTCACACGGTCGAAACTTATGATGAGATGGCTGCGCCATCCAAGCGCGGTCCCGGACGTCGGCCTTCATTCTCAAGCTAGGGGCGGAAAGTAGCTTTCTAGTCAATCAAGATAATAATTTGGCATAAAGGGTAAGTTGAGTGAGCCTCAAGGCCCACCCCACTACCCTAGTTTACTAGCTAAACTCCCTCTCTCTAAAATAGGTTCGGCTGGCCACGGGGAGAAAGAATTTCGCCGGCGGTGCCTCAAAATCGGGAAAATCAACCAGAAGCCCGGGCGCTTCGGGGCCGCTTCGGCTGGGTCCGGTTCCCTGGATGGGTCGGGAGCAGCGCACCGAGATGTTGGGTTTTAGTACAAGGACGTAATTTGGGTATGTTGCGTTGGGCCTGGCCCCACGCGTCTTTGCCGAGTTTCGTGGCTGTACTAACTCCGGAACCCCCGGCACCGCGAATGCATGGTGCCGACAGCACTGGTGGCGGCCCTCGACAAAGCCTTCGGGACGTCGCGGGCCGACGCCAGGCGCCTCCCGTCGGCGCGGAATCGCGTCGCCGCGCGTTCGGAACCGTTCCTGCGTGCCCTGCGGCGCTACTCTGAGCCGCAGAGCCTTCGGCGCTGCTCGTGCGCGCCTGGAGCGCCCGCTCTGGTGAGGCTTCGGTGAGGCACTGGAACTAGATCGCTTCGCTGGGCGCTGCTGGGCGTCGCGCCGACGTGTCGAGTGTTCAGTGCACTCCCAGGTCGACCTACGAGGCGCGGGAACACGCGCTGCGCCTACCGCTCGTGGCGTCTGCGCTGGCACAGGCGCGAGACGGGATTGGCGTTTCTCGCCTGGAAACGAGGCGATGGGCCACAACGCGTCCTCGCGGGCTACAGGCGTCGGACGGCTGCGCGATGGGTTCCGACGACATGTATATCGACTCGAGTGCGCCCACGCCAGCCCAAAGTCGCCGGAGCGCCTTGTACACGCGACCGCGTTTTGCCCGCGCGGGAGGAAAACCGAGACTTTGGGAGGTCACGGTCGTAGCTCCGCGAGATCGAGGTCGATTTACGCGAACCCGCTACGCGAACCCAGACTCTCTAAGTATCAGTTAAAAGTCGGCTATCCATCGCAAGTAACCGCAAGGTCGAGCTCGACGGTCCACCGCCGGTCGACTTTCACTGTCCGCCCCTACTGAGTCAAGCTTCAGGCTAGTGGGAGATACGAAAGGCCAAGTGGACGAAATCCTATTACATGTACAGGCGAATACATTGCATATATTGGTAACATCAGAACTTTTTCCCATGGACTCGGGTCGGCCGACTGTGAGTATCGTGGTGACTGGCGATGTTGGTTCCGGGAAGACATGTTTAATTCGCCGTTACGTAAACAATTATTTTCCAAAGGGCAGCCAAAAGAGCACCTCTTCAAAGAAGCGCCTTGGCCTAGAGCATTCACTAAAAGTGCCCCCCCCCCCCCCCCATTCATCCACACACACGACAAATTAAAATCCGGCTTAGCTGGCTATGATTGAGGAAATGGGAAATCTTTCAGTCGTCCTTCAAATTGCCGACGACGAAGATACTGTGCCAGCGAGTGTCATACTTCAGCTGAAGTGTAATTGTCCTAATGTTACCTTTAGGCACAGCTCGGAGACAATTGTGGCTACCACCAGAGCGCTTGCTGCCAGAAAGCAAATGGTGCGATAATGTGTTACGATCAATCCAATGACGAAGCGCTGCGGTGCGTCCGAGTGTCTGGTAAACCACCACAACTCTGATGGTGTAGTCGTGTGAGTCGACGGAAAGCAGAATTCGACTCAGATGTCACCTTTCGCAGTGGTGATGTACTTCCAGTAGTTCTCGTCGCAACAAAATGTGATGGAACGTCGGCGATTGACAAGAACGCTCTAGATTTGTTTTGCGTCAATAACGGCTTTGTTGCTTGGTTTCAAACATCCGCTAAGACAGGTAGACAACCTTTTTTTGTGTGAAAATCACCCTGTTTTACGATTGACGCCTGGTCAAGTTCTTATCCATAGGGGAAGGTGTTGATGCAGCCTTCAACTGTCTCACATCAAACATCATGATGTGCCAGGATAGGTGGCGACACGATGAGCGATCGTATGAGGATATCTTCGTTGAAAATTGTGCTTGCGGATGAATTGGCGAACTGTTGGTCGCATCTGACCAGGTATTGATACTGCAGAGCGCGCAAAAAACGATACCCTCGCAAAGCGCCACGAACGGACGGCAGCCGACAACTCACAGCTACCAGCACGGCTCCTAGCGGCTACCACAAGCCCCGCCCCGTTTGGATGGGGGCACATCACTCGGCCCCACGAAAATGTGGATGTGAGTTGGAGGTGAACCAGGAAGATAGAAGAGAGCATGGACGCTACTCGTAAGGCAGACGCCGACAGGGGAATTTTACCTTGCCCCGCCCCTTCAAAACTTTTCAAGTTGCCGTTAACAAAGAGGGGACTTATATTCGCTACGCAACTCGGCAGCTTAAGAGAGTCTCCTGCGTCCGTCAGGCCCCTCAGCGACCAGGGGCCCCTGGCGGTAGTATCCAACTATGCAACCCCCAGACTCCTCGGTCACTAAAAGTGTGCAAGAGAAAGAAAGAAAGAAGAGGATACCGAATCCGCGTATCCTCGTACAAAAGATGCAAGTAAGCGACTAAGCTGGTATATATCCACTGCACTGTGAACCTCAAGCTAAGTTGCCTCACTAGGTCCAGGAAGACTCTCAGTCTATTACAGTGCGGGACGCAACTATAGCAGGGTTAGAAAGTATCAAGGAGAGGGGAAGAATCTTGGGTGGCTCTGTACCAGCGAGCCACTAGGAAGGTACAAACCTCTCTATCTCTCTATCTCCCTATCTTCTTCATCACTAGTGTTCATTAGTTCCTCCGCCTCACGACTTTCAAAATCTGTATCTTGTATCTCCGGAGACTTCGCAAACGGTCGTGCGCGATGACGGCACTGCCCTGGGCGCCGGCCCTAAACAAACCGCGCACGCCACGACTAGGACATCGACCTCGACCCGGTCCAGGGCGCACGGGGCACCACGGCCGTGCTCGACAACATCGCGATAAATGCGGGCAGAATCGAGCCCGTACTGTAGGCCATTATCTCATGGGAAGGACGCTGGGTGAGGGCTCATTCGGTAAAGTGCGACTGGGGACGCATATCCTGACCGGTGAAAAGGTCGCAGTGAAAATCTTAGAGAAATCACGGCTTGTCGAAGCAGCTGATGTGCAAAGAGTAGCACGTGAGATCAAGATCTTAAAACGCAATCGCCATAGAAACATTATTCAACTATTTGAAGTGCTCGACACACCGACAGCTATATATCTCATCATGGAAAATGCAGATGCTGGTGAAATGTTCAACTATATCGTCCAGCATAAACGCGTTGATGAGATTGAGGCATGCCGCTTTTTCCATCAAATTATGGATGGTGCTGAATATCTACATGAGATGGAGGTGACACACCGCGATCTTAAGCCTGAGAATCTCCTCCTCCAAAATTCTAAGCAGGGACTGCTGGTCAAAATTGTCGACTTTGGTCTGTCCAACACCCATGATGGTGGATCTTTGCTGCAGACTGCATGCGGGTCTCCCTGTTATGCAGCCCCCGAGATGATAGCAGGCCTGAAGTATTGGGGTCCAAAGGCAGACATCTGGTCGATGGGTGTGATCCTTTACGCCCTCGTTTGCGGATATTTACCTTTCGAAGATTCCAATACTTCAATATTATACAAAAAAATCATGTCAGGCATTTACTCATGTCCAAACTGGATATCACCGGATGTCCGTGATCTAATTTCTCATATCCTTGCTACGGATCCTGTCCAGCGGTATTCTATCTCTGATATCCGTGGGCATCGTTGGTTCTCTCATGTTTCCATGCCTCAACTTCACATGCAGGCTGAACTGGAACCACAAGCTGTCGAATCTCCCGATCCTGCCGTCCTCGGTGAGATTGAATCTATTGGCATTCATCGTGCGACAGTCGAGGATGCATTAAAACGGGGTCTTCATAATAATGCCACAACAACCTATCATCTTTTGTGCAAGCGGATGATGCGTAACGCTGAGCATGCTGCTATCACATCGAGGCCGGGAACTTCATGTGTGCCTCATCAACACCAAGCGACGCACGCATTAGTCGGCACGCATGCCCCCTTATGTGCGTCCGTAATACCTGTACCTAAACTTCGGCTCCCGGCGTCTGTCAACTCTTGCAGCGCCTACGATGCTGATACGACGGTGGCAGTTGCTGTGCAGCCTGATACATCTCAGACAGTGGCAGCGAGCTATGCGCACAAGCGAGGAAGCCGAGCATCGACAAGTAGATCAGCAACTACACGACCAGCTTCTGTTGGAACCAACGTTCACGTATCCCAAACCGCTCGCCTGGATGCACCTGGCCCAGGTGCGCCTCAGCAGCGAACCAGGAGCGTCCCCGTTGCCTCGCCAGCCGAGGCTTCACTGCAAATGCCCCCCAGTGCGCTCCATCAACCCATTCGTTCTCAGTGGCCTCCTTTTGCATCAGGCCAAGAGGATTTTCAACAGCAGTTAGGTTCGCCATCAAAAGTGCGATTTAACAAGTGTAATCCACAGACACAGATAAGCTGTCGTAAGCAAAAGAGCGATTTCGTCGCTGCAGTACACATCACTCCAGCAAAAGGTAGCTCGGCTGGGAAGTCTGCGATGCAGCATCGCCCTCGCAGACCTGATAGTCGATATCGTAGAAACGAAGGCCATGCGAGTCGCAGGTCTACTCTCGCTTCAAACCTCGCCACTCGATGACCACTTCAGGTCTGTCATCTACATATGAACGGAGGTAGATTCAACGAGCTGTATTTTGACCAAAGCCACCCGCCGGCTTTGTCCTGGGCATACTCCCTCTCACCTAGCCCGCTTATCCTCCCGCAAGGCGGCCAACGTGGGGCGGTCCTCAGCAACCAGCCTACCTCCCCGATGGCAAAACTAGGCCGTGAGACTCGTTTTCGAATTTCGGCAATACTTCAAAGCTGGAAGTTTATTTAACACGGGCCGTAACTCGAAGTAGATTTGCTCGGTTGTTGACGCTCGGCCGTGACATCATTTTGTTGTAGCACGACATATAGAGAATAGTCAAGCTATAAAAACCAGAGTAGCGATCTTTTGTCCGAGACGCACCATTTTCTTCAAAATTGCGATGAAGGGCACCTGGCGGCGTCCCGAGGCCACCCATTCACAACTATACTTGCAGCGGTTCCAAGACTTGGCGCGGCGCTCGGTCTGTGGACCTTGCCGCGCCTCGGGCCCGGCTGCGAGTCGCTCGGGAAAGACCATCGGTC